TGCTGTTTTTATGTGTGATAACAGAACCTAAATCGAGGTAAGGCTAGGCCTAGACTAGCAGCATTGGATAGGCTAATGTTTTCGGCGCCTACGATATTTCTTCTCACGACCTGTCGCAAAATCAAACATGAAAATTCATCCGCATTTATTTTTTGTGTGGAACACAAAAAATCAAATTTCAGAGTCTTATTTTACATTTTTTTCATTTTTAGGAATGTCTAAATTCAGTTAAACTAGCAATTCCGTATTATATTTATAAATCTTTATAACATTATACAAAAAATAGATTTTTCTTAAAAATTGAAATTTTGCCGGGAATGGGGCTTTAAATAATTTTTATTACATTACATGTTGTTGTTACAGGATAGAAAACGAAGAACATTCAATTATTAAAAAACAAAGACAATGCCACTTTCCAAGCCTCATGAGACTTTGTTTAAAAGCATAGTGTAGGCCTAGGCCCTAGGTCTAGATCTCCACTTGTAATTGGCAAGTGCACTCGCTGTTGAATGCGACATAAAGTGAAAAAAATGCGTAATAATAATAAGAGTAATAATGTAAATTTATTGGACAATGTTACATAAAATGAAACAGATTGTATACTATTTTCATTCATATATAAGAATATTTATTTTATTTTAGAGTACAAGCAACTGTTGTTGATAAAGTTAATAAGTGGTTGGATGGTTGCATTGAGAATGAAAGGCAAGTAATTTTTTTAAATTAATAAATTATTATCTTTGAATTAAAATAAATATATTTTGAATAAAGAGAAAGAATATTTTCAGTAAATTATATCTGACTGTGTTTGTCGTCATCGATTATTAACATGCAATTATTGACAATAAGTATTGTTTTTTTTTTTATAGTAATGGCAATGATGCAGATTGGTTAAGAAGGAGAAAACCAACCAGGGAGATTGAAACGTAATAGACGTGTGAGGGAACATGCCCCTGTTCGTGGAGAATCAATTCGGTATGTTTTTTTTTTATTCAAAAAGTAATTAAAAAAAATTGGTAAAGAAGCGATGTTCAACGAATAATAACATGAAATCAATTTAATGTTTGTCCAAGAGAGTAATGTTTCTATTTGGCAACACATAATTTGAAAAAAAAAAATGTAAAAATAAGTGTTATTTAAAATTGAATCAGTTCAGGTTTCATCCAGCATGGTAAAAATATTCTAACTTAAAGGTTTTTAATCTTTAAAATCATTTATCACCTAACAGCATTTTGTAAATTTGATTGAAAAAATATGATAATACAAAATCATTTAATATTCTTTCTTCACAAATGCAATTCTTAAGTTATAAATTATAAAATTTGTATCGTTTTTCAGAACTGGTATTACAAGCTTGTCATTAGCTTCAATCCTAGAATACGATTCAGATAGTATTAACAGTGAAAAGGATTCAGTCCATTTGCCGCATTCTGAAGTAAATTTAGATATTGATGACCATGATGCAGGTGCTGTATTGTTTGATCATGTATCGGAGAATCACGGAAGTGGGGCCAGTAATAATATTGTTGAACCAATGGAAGTGGATGATACAAGTGACAACAGCAGTCAGCAGGACATTGTACAACCAGATGATGATATTGGAGACCCACAAAGACCTGCAAACAAGTAAGTTACAATAAAATTATATATATTTTTTATTTAATCGAGTTGTTGTCCTAGTACTGTGTGGTATCTCCTATCTTACTTACATCATATATGCATTAATATTTATTAATTAATTGTTTATAAATACATTTAAATTGAAAATGTTTTATAAACTTTTTTTTAATTTAGGAACAAAAAAAAGAATGTTCTTCCACCTTGTGGTCTGTGGTGCAAAAAGCAGTGCAGGGAAAAAATAAGTAACGAAGAAAGAAACACAATAAACGAAGAGTATTGGAGATTGACGTTGGAACAGCAGAGGGTATGGCTACTCAGTCATGTAGAATCGTCTGCACCAAAGAGGAGGGATCCTAATAGCATAAATCCACGAAAACACACCTACAAATATTCCATGATTACCGAAGAAAAACAAACTGTGCAAGTATGCCGTACATTCTTCTTATCAACATTGGGGTTTAAACATACAAGCAACTGTGTAATTACTTGGCTTTTTAAACTTATTGATGGAAAGGGGATTGGCGTATATGCTCCTAAAGATAACCGAGGTCGACATGGAAATAATCCTCACAAACTCACTGAAGAGAAGAAACAATTAATAAACAATCACATCAAATCTTACCACCCATGCATTTCTCATTATCGTAGGGAACATGCTCCCAATCGCTTGTACTTGCCACCAGATGTAACCATCACGATGATGTACGAAGACTTTTCTGAAAAAAATCCTGGCATTTGTAAATATCAAAGCAAGCTACCGAAAATTAGTTAAAGATTTAAATATTAGCTTTGTTCGACTCGGAAAAGAAGAATGCGAAATTTGTGAACACAAAAAAAATCATAAAACCAACAACGATGATTGCATAGATTGCATGAATTATAATGCTCATTTAGAGAAAGCAAAACTTGCGAGGGACAGCTACAAAGAGGATGGTCAGAAAGCATTAGCGGATGATGAGCTAATTGTCTCTGCTGACATGGAGAAAGTTATAATGTTGCCGAGAATGGAGGGCATCAAGACTTGCGTTTTTACACGGCACTTTACACTGCACTGACTGCAATTGTCAATGATGAAAACCAATTAGAGACCATAAAGTTAAAATATCTCGAAGCTGGTCATACGTTCATGAGCTGTGATAGCTTTCATGCGAAAGTCGAAAAAGAAATGAAGCGAAGGGGTAAAATATTTGATTCTCTTGACTTCGAAAGTGTAATTAACGTATGTGGAAAAGCTGTACCAATGAAATATAATGACTTTATAAAGTAAACTGCATGAGTGCTGCTGGCTACACCAACAAGCCAATCTTATCAAATGTAAAAGAAGTTTTATTTTCAAGAGGAACTACAGCAATAAAATGGAAAGAATCTCATTCAGAAACAAGCTAGAAAGAAGGAGAATTTCTAAAGAAGAGAATCATTGATGGGATTCGAAACAAGAAAAAGTTTGATGGACGACAAGAGCCAAGAGGCATCCCTAACGACAAAAAATTAGATATTATTAAAAATCTTGTCACTCTAATGCCAGAAAGCAGGAAAGCTTTCTGGACAAATATACCAGTGGAAGATGTCACAGACCTGATTTCAAACATAGAGTAAAATCATTATAGACCCATCCATTATTCATGCTTACGGTTACCAAAACCAACATTGATTAAAAATTTGCACTATTAGGCCTGAAGTCTTACTGTCAATTCAACGGTAATGGTCTGGTTGCTATGGTTTTTGTGACGTTCAGTGTGTAGGGACGCACGTGCGCCTAGAATGTCGATGCCAGAGTTATAACCTTTGATGTCCCGAGATGTGCGTCCTTTTGTTGAATTACCTTGGTAATACTCTGAACTAGCATTGTTTTAGTTACCATATGAGAGCTTCCTGTGTTAAAAACATGATTTACTATACTATACCTCTTTATAAAACATAACCTGTACATTTTAATAAGAGAAATATGTATATTATCGCTACTTGGAACAGTAACAACACGAAAGTCCTATGCTACTGCATTATAATGCATTGGCCTATTTTAATACACTACTAAGATAGGCTTTTCTTTTCAATCTTGATTTCAGAGGTCAAAAAAATTTTTCAATTTTTGTTCAATCATATAGTGGTGTAGACTAGTCTTTTAAGAACATTTTGCTAGAAAACTTTTTTGGATACGACGCCCCGTTATAGAGTTATGATTTTTTAAATAACATGTTGTCAAAAAATCCGCCCCAAAGCTTATCTAATATTTCTGTTGGTTACGCACCGCTGATTCGCAACAGATCCCTTTGACGCGACAAACCTATGTGTTCCCCGCTTTTGGATCGCGCGCGGGCGTATTACCCTATAATTCACATTTTTTCGTTAGCAACAACTTGGCAACGACATGCAATACGCTTCCAGCAGAGCAGTTGCGCAATAAAACGTTTGATTTTAACACATTAAATATCTTTATAATGAACAATGTTCCCCTGATTAGATTTTTTCGGGCTTTTGATATGTTATTATTTGTATATTTCAGGAACGGATTCCGTAAAATATTTATGTTAAAATTACTTCTGTGTTCATTATAATTTTGTCTAAAGATTGGTTAGTTCGACTATAAAGCTAAGTCAGCGTAAAACTGAAAAATACTCAGATTTTGGATTCATTTTTCGAATAGTTAACCCTCGTTAACCCTAAAATGACTTAGTTTATTATAATCCTTAATCATTTATTAATTAATATCTGTTAAAATCAGAATTGGCGAATTTTGGCCAATTTATGAAAATTGAAGTTGAAATATACTATATTTTTTTAGGTCATGTAAATGTTCAATTAAATTCGAAACTTTTCTTGGTGGAAAATATTAATATGTTTGATATTTTATGAGAGATAAATGTATCAGCTTCAAAATAGAAAAGATTGCGCAGCCATAGTGATTAACAGTATGTAATGCGCATTGAGAAAAGAAGGTGCTCTCTATTTCGTCATGTTCAATTTTTTGGTCAACTATGCCTGCTGAATATTTGATGGCATGACCTCAATCATTTATTAATTCATATCTGTTAAAATTAGAATTAGCGAATTTTGGCCAATTTATGGAAATTGAAGTTGAAATATACTATACTTTTAAAGGTCATGTAAATGTTCCATTTAATTTCAACTTTTTTTGGTGTAGAATATGTTTGATATTTTATGAGATAAATGTATCAGCTTCAAAATGGAAACGATTGCGCAGCCAATCAACTGTATGTAGTGCGCATCGAGAAAAGAAGGTGCTCTCCATTTCGCCATGTTCAATTTTTTTGGTAAACTATGCCTGCTGAAAATTTGATGGCGGGGAACACATGGGACTTCAAAGGCATCGCGAAAACGTTCTTTACGCGCTGCGGCAACTTTGATCTTGGTTCATTTGCATAGTGCGTAGATTTGCCGAGTGATCTCCTTCTCAATAATACCTCCATGGTTCAACCTACGAGCAGATTACGAGAGGTTACGCGCAGATACGAAGCAGTACTGTAATTCCTGTCTGTACTGTAATTTCTATGTTCACAACTAGTTTAGGCCTAGGCCCATGTTTTTGTGGAAAGCCTAAGCTAGATAATCGTTATGTACCCGACAGTTGGCTGCCTTTATATCTTTACTTGTCTTCAGTTTGCATTCAAAGGGTACACTGCTGCATAGCCAACTGTCGAGGATATAGTACCTTAATATGACTACTCATACAAAAGAAAAAACCTCACATGGAGGTAGCGAAAAATTGAGATCTAAATGAAAAAACAGTGTATTTCAGCAAGTATTAAAACCTTTTTTTTTAAATTTTAGGCCTTCTTCAAAATGCCTATGCCTACAGCAGTTGATTTTTTTTGCTGTGTAATAAATTACCATTCCTTTCCTTATTTTAACATATTTAATGCATAGAACATTCTAGAATAACATTTAATTGACCAAATAAACAGTGTAAACCTTATTGGTAATTATAGAAACACATGGCACCATGTATAATCCAAGAGTAATATTTGGAAGTTTCTGGAATCTTGTGTAATGTAGATCTGGGCAATAAGCCTATTGGTTAATTAGGATGTAATGTGACCAATGAGGAACTTAGGCAATATAGAATGCTCTCGAATTTACAGCTAGGGTATATAACCTGACAGTTTTATCTTGCTGGGGCTCTTTTTGAAACACATTTTTATGTGAATGTTATTGTGTTATTTTGATACCGGATTCTTGTTGGAGTTTATACAGAATAAAAGTGTATTTGAGAGTTGTTTTACATTGTGACCTGTGTTTGTATTTTATATGTCAAAGAGGGATAGTCATTTCTTTACTGCTCGGAAATACGTCAAGTAGGAATTCATGACAGCCGCAAAACCAAAATAGTTTCATCCATGCCGACTTGCCGGTCGGTTAGCGTGAGCCCTGACTGAACACTGCAGAAACTTCACATCGAACCTCGCATCGTGAAGAAGAACAAAATGTCGGAAAACTTTTTTTACGCATGCGCATTTGCATAAATGTCTACACACGCACGCACACACTACACACAGAGAAAACAGTGAAAAGTTATTACAATAGTTCCTATTGCATTACATGCATAGGAACTAAAAATGAACTACACCTTCACACTGCATCTATTGTTATTTTGTACTCTTCACTCTTTTTCTATCTCTGTAGTTGATTCCTCACCTGATGTTTTGATTAGAGCAGCAGTTGCATCACTCTCTGGTGGATTTGAAACTTTAACTGCCAATGGTTGTTCTTTTGTGATGGCTTCATTATCTTTAGCAACAGTAATGATTTTTCCAATGCCCTCTGTATTCACCAATTCATGAAAGTGCGCCGATGGAATGAATATTGGTGTAATATTTCTATTTTTAAATAATTCATCAAAATATTTTCCTAGAACATCGTCTCTCAAAGTGTTGACAGACATCTTATGGGATCCAAGAGTTTCTTTTTCTTCTGGTTTGTTCATAATTGTATTGACTGAGGCCATCAGATTCTTTACTTGGGTCATCATCAAATCAATATCTTGAACTTTACTGTCAGTGTCTTCTTTTTTCTCTTTGTACATCTCTTCAAGGTGTGACATTAATTCTTCCCTTTTCTCTATAACTGTTTTAATAAGTTTCTTTTCCTGAATTTCGATGACTGTTCTGCATAGCTTTAGTTGAGATTCAAACTCTGATCTGTCTTCAGTTACAAATTCTAGTTTTTCTTTTAATGTATTTTCAATTTCACGCGCTAACTTGACAATTTCAGTGGCATCTTTGTTAAACTCTTTTACAGCAACTGACATTGGAATCACTTTATGTTCTTTTTGATAACAGTGATGGATGTTTTCACAAAGCTTACATGCTGAATTGTTGCAAGTAGAGCAGTAAAATTCCAGTGTGTTTTTGCAATGAATTTTGCATTTGGTTTGTTCATCTGAACTGCCATCTTGTTCCTTCTTGTCTAGTGTGTAAAGTGGATGATCCTTAGTGGAAGGTACTCTCTTGTGTTGTTTGATACATGGAGTTCCACATAAATACAGTTGACATGTCTGGCAGTGGTATTCTGGTTGATTAATGTCGCAGCAAGAACATTTAGTTGGTTTTTGATCCTCAGTTTTTATGACATAGGCCTACTCTAGTAGTTGACTTATCATTGCATTTGATGAAAGCGCTTCTAAATCATATCTTGTTGGGTCATGTTCTTGTCCACACGTTGGGCATTTCATCTTTCCATGAGTTTCCACCCATTTCTGGATACATTGTAGGCAATAGGTGTGCATGCATTTCAGTGTCTTTGGTTGGTGAAACCTACTGAGACAGATGGCACACTCAA